TTTACCATAAGTGATCGATGTGATCCCTCACTTTCAGTATTCTGATACATCTCATAGCTCTGCTCCCAGTTTTACTCAACTATCACTTTTTAACTGTTATACTTTGCAGTTCACTCCTTGTCCATAAGTCTTTATGCCCTTAATTTGTATATCCTACCTTAAATTCCTAATGATTTTTATTTGTCCACAGAAGGCACATTCTGTACTATAAAATTTCACCTATGACTAAAAAAAAAAATGCTTTTCCATACTCCTAAGTAAAATGTTGGGGTCAGTGTTCAATTTTCAGTTCTGTTGGTCTTAATCCAAAACTGTCATTTATTTACACACACACACCCCAAATTACCATCACTGCCAATTCTTCCACTAGTTGATGCCAACAAAAAGGCTCACAAGGCGCTAATCATGACACTCCCCCTGACTGTTACAGTTTAAAAGAGAAGCAGTCAGAATAGTGAGTTTCAAATACTTGGACTTCTTTCCAATCTGAACATAACATTCTTTAGCAGTGACAACATAGCCCCACCCAAGTTTTAAAACAAGCTGTCTCGACTTGGAAAAGCACACCTACGTTCTTCCTGGATTAAAATACTCAACAGGGAAAAAAAATGCTATCACCTAAAAGTTCACTTTGATGTATGTCTTACATCCTCAGACGCTAGGGGTAACGGAGAAAAGTTACACTTAAAAAATGCAACGTCCCCCTAGTGACGTCAATACATACACATGTGAACACCTTAAGGGATCTGGAGCAGCGCAATGATCAGTGTATCTGTCAGAGGATCCAAATAGAATTGGATCGTGTCGTCAAAATTCTATTAAGAGACTGGCAGCTCTGGGAACCTAGAGCCAACTTGAGTCCCCCAGACCATGCGGATCCACCTCCTTCAGTTAAACTGAAGGGTCCTGGGACCCGCGCCGCAGCCCGTTTGCCCCGCAGGAGCTGCCCTACCCCTCCCTGCCCCAGGCAACACTTACAAACTTGGGGCGTTTCTCTCCAGGCGCCTCCGCGCCGGGCGGCGGAGGGTGTTGGGGACCCTTCCTGCGCGGCATCTTGCTTTCCCGGCAGCTGCGGAGCGAGGCGGAGGAGGGGTAGAGGGCCCCGGCGGCGGAGCCCTGCGTCGGGTGGTGCAGTCGCGGCCGCTGCCGATCCATATTTCCTGACAGTTCTGGGAAACGGAAAGAAGGTGGCCGCTACGCACGCCGCCGGCGGGGAGATCAAGGATCCTCCGCGGAGTCGCCTCCCTGCCCTTCCGCCCAAGCCACCGGCTCGATTCAGTCCAACTGCTGCCGCCGGGGCCGCAGCCAACACATCCGAAAACTCCCGCCACCGCGGGCCTCACGGGGACGGGCCAACCCCGTGCCGCTTAGTCAATGACACTCCCTGGAACCGCCCCTTCCGGCCATAAAGAGACGCGATTGGCTGAGCTGTCCGCTCATTTGGCCACGTGAAGCCTTCAGCAAACCCAGGCAGCTCGCCTTAGGAGTACAGGCTGGGTGCGGGCTTTGGAAGCGCGGGGAGCCTACCAGGAAGAATTTGGAGATCCGGCTCGTGCTAACCTGGAAGGCAGAGGAGACCTTCCATTTGCGCCACCATTTGAGCAGCTCTGGAATAGGAAGTCGTCTGCTAACCCTCTCTTTACACGTCTCGGGAGGCCCTGTTGCCATGGCCGCTGGGAAAAGTAGTTCTAGGATCTGCGTTTAGGGTGCTAGGCGGGAGAGAACGACAGCGCCCCCAGCGCTCCAAAACGATGTCTTCTCACCATATTTGCTGAGCGCTGGCTCCGTGCCTTGGTGTTGAGAGCCAGCTCTGGGGTGGCAGAGGGGTCCACCAAAAATTGGAAAACGCTAGGCCACGCCCTTATGGAGCTGACGGTCTAATAAGGTTCACAAACCCTTATAACAAAATAATGTAAATGCTACAGCAGTTATTTTAAAAGTTCATTCAGAACAAAGACCAGAGATAGTAAATCAAGGAGCAGGTCTGGAAAGGCTAAAGAAGGAATGCACAGACTTGCACTAGGCAGAAAAGGGGGGTAGGACAATCAGATAAAAGACATTCCAGGCAGGAGCAAGGCCAAGAGGGGTCAAGAGCATGGAGTGGAAAAGAGCTTCACGGGCATATAATGAAGGGCCTTGAGCTGAAACCACGCAGAAGAGTTTGTATATACCCAATGTCAAGCTACAAAGCTAAAGCAGTTTTTCCATTCATCAGTGTGCTTTTTTTTCCCCCTTAAAAGTCATCTTTTCCTTTGAACTGTGTTTTTAAGTTACCCATCTTCTGACTAACTGGCTGTGGTGTGGGCCCCAGACCCTGGTAAACATGCAGTACTGATGTGGGTACAGGAAACAAGTAGCAACTCTGGGGAGATTAGCACCGAGGTTCAGAAAATGGGCCTTAGTTCCAACTAAGTCTTCACATGACAGTTTTGGGGGCTTTATAATATTTATTTATTTTACTGTTCCAGACTTTCTATTCCAATCTCTGTCCTCAACACCTAATCTTTAAAGGAAAGTCCCAAGAGAACAGCAAGGTCAGGAGAAATGCAAATAGTTCCTAATGTCTTGATGACTGTTAGACCCAGATGCAAATTTTATTCCTGTCATTTACTAGCTATGCAGTGTTGGAGATGATGTTAAATTTTCTTTCTTTGCCTTTCCATCTGCAAAGGGGATAATAATTAATAATAATACCTAACAAACAGGGGTATTGGCATGCTTAAATGAGATAGCATATGTAAAGCTCTTAGTAATATCAGTGAAAGCCCCTCCCACGAAAGACTACCAGTAGAAACTCCTGTAGTTGAACAACTGGAGTTTTTTACTCATAGGGAATGAGAACATGCACTATGGGGAACCATGGACTTTCAGTAAGAGGGTGCTAGAAATGAGTTGCAGGATTTGGACTTTGGTTAGGTGATTTTGGAAAAACCCCTGTTAAGCACAGCGGGGAGGGTTACTCTGAATTTCAGTGCTGTCAGAAATTAGAGACAGTTCAATGACCGGGTATCTTAATAAAGCTTATCTAGAAGGATGGCAGGCTAAAGAATGAGGCTAAAGCCGTAACTGACAAAGCAGAAGAAGCCATTCATAGTTGGAGGAGAGGGGGTTGTTGGGTATTTTGTGATTTGCACACTGACCTTGTTGTCTATGCTTAGACAAGGTTAGAAGTGGTCTTGTTCTGTCTCGCTTCAACATAGTCACAGAGTGACCTTATCTGATGTTGGTGTTCTGTGAGATTGTTTATGTCCATGAGGCGAACAACAGGCCGAGCTTTGAGTGTCAGGCTAGCTTCTCAAAACACTGAAGCTTAGCTGTAAGTGTCAAACTAGTTCCCTTGTGTCAGGACCGCTCTTTTCTTTCTCACGTCCTTGGCATGTAGAAAGTACTAAATGTAAATAAGCAGGAGCTTTTATAATTAACTTTCAAGCTTTACATACAGCACGCTGAAATTTTCTCTTAGAAATTCTCTGCAATTGCAATGAAAAGAATGGCTTTGTCTCAGTTTTACATTTTATGTTTATTATTTAAACCTCACAAAAGCATGCACTGCCCCCTCATTCTGACGCCCAACAAGGAGATGATAAACCCAGCTGAGTTCACAATTTTGGAAATGCTACTTTGTGCCAGGCTCAGTGCGTCAGGCCCAGAAAAAGTTGAATGAGACAAAAGGCAGGCCGGGAGAAGCGTGCGGTCCAGGAATATGTTCCTTCCTTTATCATTTCTGTTCACTCCCAACCCCAGACAATGACTACTGCAGGCAATGCAATCCTTGTGAGAATTCACTGATCACGACTATCCGAGAATGTTATTGAAGAATTGAGGGAAGGGATGGATCATTTCCAATCAAATTTTTTTAAATAGCAAACAGTTTTCTAAGATACAATTTTACCTTCATCAGATTGGCAAATATTACCAATGTTACCAAGTTTTGTACCATGTTACCAAGTTTTGACCAAGATGTAGGGAATTCCCACAGAGATGATGGGAATGCAAAACTGGTGCAGCCACTTTGAACAGCAACTTGGTAATACCTAGTAAAGGTGAAGGTTCATGTTCTGTGACACAGTGATTCGATGTCGACATGTCTCCCTGGAGAAACCCAGAGATACCCGTACAAAGATATTTCGTGAACACTTTGTAATAGCAAAAAAGGGTAAGCTACTTAACCATCCTTCAGTCAGGGAAAGAATGAAATACACAGAGGTTTACTATACATAGAATCCTATACTGCATTTAAAATCAATAACTAGGTCTCCATGTGAATAAATCTCAAAAATAAAGAGAAAAATCAAGTGACACGATGTGTGTGTGTGTGTGTGTGTGTGTGTGTGTGTGTAATAACACTGCAAAAACAAAAGGGATGTATACACAACAACTTCACCTACTTCCAGAGAGGAAGGAGAGTGGGGCAAGGAATTAAAGCTGAAACTTTATAGCTGGAGTATCCGTAAATGTTTTATATATTAAAAGGGAAAGATCTAAATTAAATCTAGCAAAATCTTAACACGCATTTAATCTCAGTGGTGGGTATATTCGTGTCTATTTTATTTTCTGTAATGTTCTGTTTATTGAGAATGTTTCATATCAAGTTTTAACAAAATACACAAATTAACAGAAACATAGGAACTTTAGAGATAGCTCCCTTAAGAATCTTCCTATGCCTCCAGGTAAATCTTCATTTACTGGCATTGAAAACACAGTGACCTATTAAGTTCATGTGAGGAAAAGTGAAATAATTTCCTTTTAGGATGATTTCAAGTTTTGGGGTTATTTTTGGTTTTTTTGGGGTTTTTTAATTTTGAGTATTTAAATCTATTCTTTCCCCTCCACCCTGTCTTTCCACTTTCTTTTCTCTCTTCTCATATGCTTGTCCCTTCTTTCCCTTAAAATATTGGGTCATCAGGAAAGTCATGACACATTTTTGCATTGAAAAACATAGAAAAATACGTCATGACTTTCCCGATGACCCAATAATACAGAGACAAAAACTAGGAAAGAAGGAAAAACCACTGTATTTCCTTCTTTCAGTTTCAGGTTAAACTACAAAATCAGGTCCATGCCAGGCATGCTTTCCAAGTGGTCAGTGCATTACAGCAAGAACCAGGTAATTAAAAACCTAATTCAAACCTAATTGATTTAACTTCACCACCTTCACTATTGTTTTACTAGCTGGCAGAAGTGGAAGTATATCTCATTGTACACAAATTCCATAAGATTTTTTGTACTTAATGCCAGGATGTTTGAATAATTATCTGGCTTTGCTTTTTCATTCCAGACCCTCAGTGACAGGAAATAATAATGTCGCTTGCCCTACCAGATTTGAAGCATGACTCCTTCCACACTCTCCACAAGTTTGCCTTTTGGTTAAGGTTGCTGCTGTTTTACAGTATAATGTTAGATGGGAAAACAGCAAATTGTATGCACAGAATGATCACAGGTATACAGTAAAACCTTGGATTACGAGTGACTTGGTTTGTGAGTGTTCTGTAAGACAAGCAAACATTGCTAATACATTTTAACTTTGTAAACCAGTGATGTCTTGCAATACGAGTAGTTTGTTTCCGGAATGAATTATGCTTGCAAACCACAGGGTATTATTGTAGCTCCAAAATGTATGTGTATACACCAGGGTCTCTCAACCTCAGCATATTAACATTTAGAGCTGCATAATTATTAGTTGAGGCTCCCAAAGTGTATCAGATGATTACATTGTATAGGTAATAATGACCCTGACCCTAGATGTCACCAAAACTCCCTCAAACATTCCCAAATATCCCTGAAGGGCTGAGTACTATTCCATAGTATGGATACATCGGATTGTCAGAAAAGTCATGACGTATTTTGTCTATGTTTTTCAAAGGTCATTTATTTATATGAAGAACAAAGATCAATAATATATTGCCCATTTTGTTTGATAACATTTTGCCATCCTTCAGTGAGCTTCATAATTCCTTGTTCATAGAAGAACCTGTCATTATTTGAAAAAAACTGAACAAGGTGCTGATTTACAGCCTCATCTGAATTGAACATTATACCACGCAAGGAGTTTTCAAGAGAGTGAGACAAGTGGAAGGCTGACAATTCAAGGTCAGGCGAGTATGGTGGGTGTGGTAACACGTCCCATCCAGGCTCCAATAATTTTTTTTTAAAGA